TGCTTGCGAGAATAGAATATCGGCACAGGCGCATCGCTCAATACGATAGCACAGGGTGTCTTATCTTTTAGGCCATTACAACTTTCAATCGTTCATACGACTTACTGCGTGATTGAGTAACCAACATCGAGACATACAAACTCAAACATATTTGTATATAATAACAATAAAATAAATAATGAATAACTGCGAACAAATCCCACACGGCCATCCGGCCCCTATTTAGGAATCCCTGTGTTATTATTTAATCTATTCTCAATTTGACCACAGACTATATGCAATAAGAAAAGCTTGACAATAAACAAATGGCATGCATGCGTGTGTGTATCAAATACATGGCAGCGTGTCTAATGTTTTTTTTTAATTGATTTAATTGTTCTTTTTTTGCATAATTAAAAAAAATATTAACATTCTGCATTCCTTCTCTATATTCTATACGAGTTTAAGGGTGGGAAATTTCGTACCGTCCGCGCAATTTTCGTAAAAAGGGGTACGAAGTTTTTGCTTCACGTATTAATATACAGATTCATCATGTCACAAGATTAAACCTTACCGATTTAAATTGTTATTAAAACAATGAATTAATTATGTTTTTTTGTTAGAACGAAACCAGTACCGTGCAAGTAAAAAATAAATAGTATGAACATAAAAACTAGGTACTTCGGCAATTACAATTTTGGCCACTTCGTAAAATTAATTCAAATCGTTCCATTATAATATGAGTCACGTTAAAACAGCGTCGGTATAAACGAAGCTCGGTTTAGCTTTTACGAATCTCTTTACATCGGACGACGTAAGAACCGGTTTTTTGTTTTTTAAACGAAAATCACTCACGTACAATGCGTTCGCGTTAAAGGTACATAAAGATCACGGGGAACGCTTTGTTCTAGAACAAACTCGTATGCGATCAGTCCTGTAGTTTGTGTTTTGTTTTCATGCCTCGCTCAGCCCGGGGGAAGGTCGAGATCGAAGAACCTGGATTAATGATAATGCTCTTTTATATATGTGACCTCTATACGATTAATCTTAAAAGAGGTTAATATGATATAAAGATGACATAAATAGAATTTCGAATATTGAAACATAAAAACATTAGAAAGAACATAAGACATATAAAAGCATTTTTGAAATATAAAAATATAAAAATAGTGGTGAAGCAATAGCTTTAAATGTTGTTTCTCTTTATAAGAGCAACTCAATTTGTGCTATAGTTTTACTAAGCTAAACTGTATTTTGATATAAATAAAATAATACATTATAAAATAACATTTAAAGCTATTGCTTCACGACTATCTTTATATATTTTTATATTTCAAAAATGCTTTTATATGTCTGATGTTCATTCTAATGTTTTTATGTTTCAATATTCGAAATTCTATTTATGTCCTCTTTATATCATATTAACCTCTTTTAAGATTAATCGTATAGAGGTTACATCTCCCCTCCTTAAAAATAAAATAGTACATCATATATATTATATATCTTTAAATCATACGCTAAATTTCATGATATTTCGGATTTTTACTTTTGATGTTGATCTATAAAAATAAAAAATATAAGTTACCTCTTTTTTAGTTACCTACCGTTATGATGTTAAAATGCAATGTGTATATTTAAAAATTAAATTTTTTTCATTGCCTAACCGCGTGAACGATCTCACGGTCTACTTGGTGTTAAGTGGTTACCGGAACCCATGGACAAAAACAATTTTGATGCCACTCCCACCTTGAGAAAACGGTTCTAAGTCTCAGTTATATAAGATATCGGTAATACCGTTCAAAAAGTAGTGGTTCCTACCCGTGCTTGCTCATAAGATGCTCTACCCACAGTAAATGATAGTAGATTAGTAATTTTTAGAAACATAAAAGTAGAACTAGAAAGTGAATAATTATTATTACAAGTAGCATTACACTAACCTAATTTCTATGACATGACTTGAATGTATAATTGTGCTTTTTTCCCCCTCGCTGGCAGCGTAAGGGCCTATATTCCAGCTACGCCTGGACAGGTAGGTGGGCTCACGGGCTCAACCTGTGAGAATTTGCTAACACCAGCCCTAGCAAGAGCAGTGCTTCGCAGAATCTACCATCGGATCGGAATCTCAGTGGGCTGGAAATAGGCAAGATGATGGTGGTATCTACCCGTGTAGACTCACAATGCGAACTTCAACCACAGTATATATGGAGGGGTGAAACGCTTTTTGGTTTAAGCGACATTTCACTTAATACAGTAAAAGCTCTTTCTTTATTCGCGAGCTATGTATACGTTCCGTAAATATGCCGCCAATACAGAAACAGTGAATATGGAAAAGCGCGTTCACTATGTACCAATGTACCTATTAAATCCGCGAATAAAGAAACATTTAGCCGCGAATATAGGAATTGAGTTACAAATTTTTTGATCCGCGTATAGTGAAAACGCGAATGAAGGTAGCGCGAATAAAGAGCTTTTACTGTACGCGACATTTATCTTTGTAGTTAAAGGTCCGTTTTTAGCATCAGCATTTTGTATTTGAACCTCAATTAAGCTTACTCCATTTAAATAGCTAAAGAAGTTTTTTTGTTATGAAAATTTTCCCAAATTTTAAACTTTAAATGTCTCTTCTGTAAAATTGTAACAATGTCGCTGAAGCCTTTCACTCCTCGATATAATAAAGTATGGAAGAAAACTTGGGTGTATTAAAGGTATCTTATATACTTTATGTAGCCTTTTTGTGGTAACTTTGAATCATATATTTATTTATTTTCATTTACTATTTTAATTTTATCTTCGGTTTATTATCTTTTAAGCTTAAACCGACAACCATTCAGTGCATCCGTCAAGTAAATGTCGAGATAATAAAAACTGTAAAGAATTCGTTACTTGAGAAAATTGATATTCATAAAATTAACGCGAGAATAAATCTGTAAAAGTATTACTACAGGTCATAGCAGATGGGTTTTTAATGGGACACAGAGCATAGTCGTTCTATTGTGTACGGAATGCAAAGTGATACTGGCTACTTGCCACTAATGCTGCTTATACGTTTAATTTTGTTGGCAAGAAAATATGTACAATCTTTCGTCTGTATATGCCTGCCATACTACCTGCCTGCCAGTGAGCTAGCATACTTTATGGTCCACCAAAACACAATTTACATTAAATAATATAATAATAGGCAGGTATAATTAAGCAAAAAGCGACGTCTTCCAGAAAGCTGGTTTTATTCTAGAGAAATTCCGAAAAAGATACAACTACATTATTCAGAATGATCTATAAAAAATAGAAAAACTTTTCCATGCATTATTAAATAATGAATAAAAATAAATTCGTTCATTAAATATCTATATATTAATACGTGAAGCAAAAACTTTGTATCCCTTTTTAAGAAAATTGCGCAGACGGAGGAGTATGAAATTTTCCACACTTACAGCGAATATAGAGAAGAAGTGCACAATGCTAATATTTTTTTAAAATAATGCACAAAAGATACATTAAATCAATAAAGAAAACGTTACACACACTACATACCATGCATTTGACGCACACACGCATGCATACTATTTATTGTCAAACTTTTGTTCTTGACGTCTGTTGTAAAATTGAGAATAGATTAAATATTGTTTGTCTTTGTTAATATTGTTTATAGTGTAGTCTTGGCGAAATTTGTGATTATAGAAGTATAAAATACAATAATAATAGTGTACAAACTTACAATTCTAATTAATTATAGTCGAATTTCGACTACTGCGGGACCTCTAGTACATGTAGATACAGTATAGCGTTCGGTCTACACTTAGCTGGTCCAACGTTAGAACTCTCCTTCGTCACGGGGCTGGAAAAACGCATATAATATGAATAACTAAACAAATCACGCACAAACATCCCCCCAATTTAGGATTTCCTGTGTTGTGGGTGTCGAAGACTGACAAACATACATATATTATATATGTTTAAGTAAAAAGATAATAAACACTCAAACCAAGAGCAAACAAACCCGTTTATCACAACGTTTGCCAGATGTGGAAATCGAATCCACGACTTCTGGCGCAACAGTCGGTCATAAACACCGAGTCTCAGTCATATAAATAGCCATAAAAAATAGCATATAAAGAGAAAAAATAGCAAAGATCTAGTATGTCAAATATAATTGGGACGGCGGGATGGATGTAATGTGCTCTGCGTCAACCCTGTCCCGCCGTCTCAATAGCCCCGACTGGGCTCCGGCCCGGTCTGAGGTAAGGTGCCGGTTGTGAGCGGCAGTTTTAGTGAGGTTCAACTCCCACATACCTCATCTGCCGCGCGGGTGTGGATCCGGCGATTTTCTCCTGTGGAAAAAAATTTGTCAAATATATTAAACATGATACTCCCAACTGGGGGTCCAGCCGCGAACCTACAGTAAAAATTTGAATAATTAACCACGAAACCCCACACATTCAAATGTTTTAACTTGTGACAACTGAAACCATTGTAGCAACAAGAAGAAAATGCATAGTAGTATTTTCATTACCCTTATAAGCACACAAGAATACGGCCCAATTGGTTATCGTCGCTCAAGGATGTTGGCAAACCGCCACATATTTACATAACACTCTACTTAAACCATGTTTGGAAAAAGACATGTATGTAACATGCGGTTTAACCGGAATGACCCCTCGAGTCTTTCTATATAATCCACTAAAAGACGCATCTATCCACTGAACTTAGAAAATGAGCTTTTTTTTATTGCTTAGTTGGGTGGACGAGCTCATAGCCCAACTGGTGTTAAGTGGTTACTGGAGCCCATAGACATCTACAACGTAAATGCGCCACCCACCTTGAGATATAAGTTCTAAGATCTCAGTATAGTTACAACGGCTGCCCGACCATTCAAACCGAAACGCATTACTGCTTCACGGCAGAAATAGGCAGGGCGGTGGTACTTACCCGCGCGGACTCACAAGAGGTCCTACCACCAGTGAGCTGATGTAAAATTGGTGCTTTTTAACCACTCAACTAATATTCTTCTCGTTTGTCAACAGAGTGAAAAGTGGCTGGCGTACGAGAATCTAAAAGAAGATATACTGGAGAAGATTAGGAAGTTGGAAGAAGAACGGCATACCGTAGACCTCTGGTCTAGCGCCCCAGAGTGGGGAAAGAGAAGACGCAAAAGACAAGTCACCGTATCTCCCCCCTACGTCGTGTACATGCTACCCGACGCCGACATAATGGAAGATTGGAGATTGGTCAGGAAACTTCTAGAAAGGGCTGAGTAATGTTATCGAAATTCTTCGTCATCTAAATTTTAAATTTCATTGATCGGCAAACCTGTCTTGATGTCAAATCATGTGTATATAGAAATTTCCAAAATTTATTTTCAGTTTTCGTCCAAAACCACACGTACTTCATTAAAAGACATATTTTCTACGATTCATTCGTTTTTGTTCTGTTGATTTTGTCAATCCAACGTTACCGTAATAAAAAGGTGTTTGAATATCTTTCTTTTAAAAATGTTTTTGATTCATGAAAACTTAATGATATACAGTCGATTCGACAATAATCGAAGAATAATGAATAATTTTTTTATTAAAATAACCTTAAGTTGGTGAAGATCCTTCTTGCATTTTTTTATAATATTATTGCATATTCTGACATTGGTTCCCCTTTCCCTCTACTAGGGGGAGGGCACATTCTTTAAAGATTTTCCCGCTCCAAAAAGACTTAAGTATTTTCTTTAATTTCTAGCACCTTTATTGGTGTGGGAGAGACCCGAAAACGGTCATTCTTAACACGACGCGATTCTTGAAAAGGTTGACTCTGCAACCCTAACTACTGGTGGCTTGTGTCCTGAACACGGCCGCCGGTTACGACCTGTCTCCGTAATGTTCTCTGGAATTATATTTTAATCGTAGTATAAGATATTAAGGAATGGAACTGTAAATAAATAATAGAATGGAACTTCTGTGTTTATAGTGTTATAAATTGTTGTGACACTTTGACAGTAAAATTTTTTGATTTGATTTGTACCTCGTTTTTTGTTTTAAACTGAATTAATCGGATCCGTAAGAAAATTGAAGTCTGACATTTGCTACTCGCCAATAAAGAATATGTTCAGAAGGGTTAACCGTCCACATCAAAGGCAGTATCGTTTTTATAAATCTTATTCTCATCGCAAACAGCCTTCTTGTCATGTTTTTCTTGTTAATTAGTGTCGGATTCAGACTATCCTATTATACCGGCACATCCTATTCACTCCGGGCAAAGTAATATTCGACCGTTATCCTTTACGACATAAGGTTCATAATCTAATTAAATTGTGAAATGAAAGGAAGATGAAAAGGTTGTGTGTAAAATATTGCACACAATTTTAATATTGAAGTTTTGCAAATTTTTGAGAATTTTAAAATATTTACAATCAAGAGATAGGCGAATGTTAGTGTATGTATGATTCAGATTTTTTTTTTTAGAATAAATCCTTTTAATACAAATTCGTTTTTTTTTTCATTGGGCTCAATATGCTATATTTAAGGCAATTAACTGAAAAGGTACAAAGTAGTACTACTGATCTAACATGATATCAGTGTGAGGCAAACGTAAGGGCGCTGTTCTAACTCCTTACAAATTTGAGTTAACTTTTACGCGAATGAGAGGCTAAAAACTGGCACTAAGCACACCGTATAAGTTGTTCTGCTCAACTTGCAACTTAACCCATGCATCAGCTCGCTGAGTTTCTCGCCGGATCTTCTCAGCGGGTCGCGATTCCGATCCGGTAGTAGATTCATTCGCGAAGCAGCTGCTCTTGAGTTGTTAGGTCTCCTTTGGAGGCGCTCGGGTAGCTGTTAGCAAATCCCACCCCTCCTAGCTGAGCCTTTGCTCGCCCACCTGTCCTCGTGAAACTGGAAAGGCCTCCGGGCCACCAGTAATCCTTCAATCATAAAAAAGGCCTTTATGCCAACCGAGCATACTACGTCATCTTCGACAATCCGTAATGTTGCTGGCCTCACATTCTTCACCCTACTTCAATCGGAGTATTAGTAGTAGGGCGTGTTTTGAATTCACAATGGTGCTCCTGTCCTAATCATCTGGCGATGAGCAGTGGAGTGTAAGTTCCTATGGAATCTAATTTGTCGATATCGTCAATGCCGATTAAGGGATTCACTGGAGAATGGGCAGCAGTACTCATCTTGGAATACACCTCTTCTACCCTTGAAGCCGAAACGATACTAAAAAACTAGACGATATATATATTCAGGATAGTAGTAGGTATCTGAGCATATACAGAATACCTACCCTACTTAGTAATGTTACGCACTGGAGTTCGGGATAAATAAAACTTCCACTGAAGTACAAATTAAAGCTCTATTTAACACAGAAAGAACACTTACAGAACACTTTACAATTCGTAATTCACTTCTTCCGTTTCGCTTCAGGTGATCCGTTCGCTGTTTCGCTTCTAGTAGATCTGATTACTAATCGCCTTCGTGTCATCTCTGCAACGCTTTTATAGTCGATACGACATCTCTACAATTATCGAGAACATTCCTGAAAGGTCGAGTAGTTTCGATGTGTGTTACCGCTGTTTGATAATAGATGGCGTTCTCTCGCGGCTTTTCGAACGTTCTCGATTTTACTAGTTCTTTTGATATTAATTTCTGCTATTCGACGATAGATTGCGTTACTCTTCCAGGGTAACAGTAACATATAATATGTTTAAAATTATAATGATTTTTTTATTATAATATTTTTCATAAATCTGAAGGTATATTATTGATAAGTCGAGGGATAACATAAGAACTAGTTCGCTATCTTACATACCATTAGCGTCATGCTTAAAAAGCTAATAAAGATTTATTTTTGACAATCTAATTCAAGACAGATGACGGATACTCCGCGTCACTTGAAACCGTTGATCCCACGACCCAGCTGATTTTGTTTGCATTACATCGCGTGCAACGAAAAAAAACAGCAATGTAATTTAAAAATTTCATGGTCTTGATTTATTAATACCGGGTTAATCAGCAGTGCGTCTGAGTTGCTGGAAAACGGTTCTCTTATACCTATATACCTTAAATTATCAAATAAATGATAGTAGGAGATGTGTGCATATTTTACGATTTAAAAAAAAATCTCTTAATTTTGATCTCTAGTTATGGGCGGACGATTTCACCATGCATTTTTAATGTTGCATAGTGTTCGGAGCTATGGCCGCATACAACCACGTGTCTACTGTGTGACTGAGCTAATCTTTACAGTTGAATTCTTACTGGTGGTAGGACCTCTTGTGAGTCCACACGGGTAGGTACCACAGCCCTGCTTATTTCTGCCGTGAAGCAGTAATGCGTTTAGGTTTGAAGGGTGGGGCAGCCGTTGTAACTATACTGAGATCTTAGAACTTATATCTCAAGGTGGGTGGCGCTTTTACGTTGTAGATGTCCCCAGTAACCACTTAACATCAGGTGGGCTGAGAGCTCGTCCACCCATCTAAGCAATAAAAAAAAATGTTGAAAATAGTTTATTTTCATAAATTGTTTACGATTAAAAATGTCCTTTTATACAGTACAAGAATTCATTTATTTTCATATTAATACGGTAAAAAATTAAAATAACAAAATCACGTTACAAATGCCTGTAAATAGATATTGATGTTGCTAGTAAATTATTTTGTAGCCCTGATAAGCACACAAGTATATATACATACATACATTTGCCAGAATTGTTTGTATATAGCCTTAATTTTATAAGAATTTTCTTATATATTTTTACTTACTATGTATAAGTAATGCACCCGTGTTAATTTAGCCTCAAAACAACCCGAAGCTGAACCTAGGAACATCAATAAAAGTCCATCTTTTAATAATCATGTTGGAAATATTGATTTCACTGATTGTTTACGAGAACAGTATGACAACACGTTTAGAAAATAAGTAGGCTGAAGCTTCTAACAATAAGGTTGCATTTAATAAAGAAATTTTATCATTACCTTTGTTTCATTTACAAGGTTATTATTAACATGAATGAGGTGCTCCAGATTGTGGTAATTGTTGATAAGTTTTAATGATTATTGACTCTTAAACAACGGGATAATAATATTCTTGAAAAATTTTACTAGTGGTAGGACCTCTTGTGAGTCCGCAGTGTTAGATACCACCACGCTGCCTATTTCTGCCGTGAAGCAGTAATGCGTTTCGGTCTGAAGGGTGGGGCAGCCGTTGTAACTATACTGAGACCTTAGAACTTATATCTCAAGGTGGGTGGCGCATTTACGTTGTAGACGTCTATGGGCTCCAGTAACCACTTAACACCAGGTGGGCTGTAAGCTTGTCAACCTACACAAGCAATAAAAAAAGGAAGATATTTGGTAATACATAAAAAAAACTGAACTAAAAAGTAAACAAAACTTTTAGTTTCGATGATCCTGACCGGATTAAGTTAGATTAATAAAATTATGATATTGTCATCAATTTTTTATATAAATTTTCAAATTAATCAATAGCCTTGAAGTTAATCAAAATTACTATTTTAAAATTAATAACTTAAATGCAATACGTCCTTAGATACCCAATAGAGTGTATAGTTTAGCCTAGTTACGGAAACATCACATTTCACAATATCCTTAGAAGTTATGGCGGTAAACCTACAACTTAATGACACGACCTCCAGTCTCGGAGGGGAGTGATGAGGCGGGTAGCCATCATACAACGCAAGATAATTGACAGATACCTGCATCTCGCTTACGACATTTTCAAGATAAAGCGCATATATATTATATGTATGTGTGTATGTATGTATCTATGTATGTATGTATGTATATACTTTTTGTAACTTAATATAAATTTCATTGCACCTACCACTATCTACTCTCCACTACCTTTGGTTGACTGGTAGAGAATGCCTTAGGCATTAAGTCCGCCAATGTAAATTTAACATGAAGTGTAATAAATAAAAAAATAAATAAATATACAAGTTCCGAACAACAACAGTTGGACCGTCGGTCTACCCGCTCGGTGGAAGATCTTCCCTCCGTAGTTAAACCTACAGAAGTTATTCGTAATAGTTTCGTCTCTGCCAAAAATGAATTGAATATTACTTGCAGGGTATTGTTATGTTTTCAAGGTATCTAATTTAAACAAAATAAATTCTAGGAACGATAGGTTAGAATTGAAAATTTTAAAAAATAGCTTTGGGGTGGTCTGTGCCCTTATACACCCAAGACGTGTGCTTTAAAATGTATGAAAATTTTAAAACAAATTTGTTTTTACACAATATGATTTTTTTATGAAATATGAAAGTTCATACAAAATTGCCTACGTTGGCGATATATATTGTAGCCATTGAAAAAATCAATTGAAATACGTGCTTTCCGTGAGAAAATACGCCAGTGGCCATATTGTGTAATTATTATGAGGCTTAGCATCTAACATACTCTAAAAATATCATACAATAAAATGAAATGAATTAAGATTTGGACCAGACGACAGTCTCCAACACGGATGAAG